TTGTTTTGCTAGGTAACAGACGAACAGGTTTTGTTGTTGTTGTTTTGCTAGGTAACAGACGAACAGGTTTTGTTGTTGTTGTTGTTTTGCTTGGTAACAGACGAACGTTTTATTTAATCTTGAATACCCATATTTGGAATAGACCAGCGTGAGCTAGCATAAGAAATCTAAATTTAGAAGCGACAAGTCTTAGCTTCAGTATTAAAACGTTTAATCCCTTGCTTGTGTACAAATAACTACTGTTTTAACTCATTGGACAATCATCACTGATCAATACATCTGTTAATCAATTAAAGCATTTCTGGATCACCTATCTGGCATTGCTTTACGAGTTGGTTGGTCATGGTATTGTTTTATTTGTAACGTTCGAATGAATAACAAGCTCTTGTAGTTTATAAGTGTTAGATCTCATCTCTGCGGTACAGAATATGTATGTATATACAGACACACAGTGACAGAAGTACATATGTACACATACGTGAACATTAGCCACAATATTTAAACCTAAGTTGATACAACAAATATTTGTCTAAATTACCTTATGACATCAACATGTCCATTTCTGGCCGCCAGATGTAGACAGGTGGTGCGACCGTTGTCCACCATGTCTTCGGGACTCTCCTCCAATAAAGACTGACAGCAGTTTGTCTTTATAAGATTATTAATAAAACAAAAATATCAAAGCATTTTACATTAATTTCAACCAAATGATTTATGAAACAAAAAATAAGTTGTACATTATAACATATTTGAGCACAAAATCACATGAATTAAGACGTGTCATTTCATTATTGATGCGGTCTTTCCTTGTGGAGTTAATACTAAATACCTGAACTTGCGAGCATCAAGTTAATTCTGACCTGTTTTGTATGGTGGCTCCGCTAGGTGGTGGAAGCTACGAAGGCCATTGCTGCCTTTGTGACAAAACTAAATAAAGATGGTGACCGGTGTTTTACTGTGTTATGATAGCAATTATAAGTTAACAAATTTTGGTCACACCTTTTAAGAAAACCCTGGATCCGCCCCCTGCGGAACACAAAACTCCTGACACATCACACAAATTATTCTTTAAAAACACACACATAGATCCAATTACAAAAAAAATCCTGCCCCCTAACGGAGAAATAATTTAACCCAACTGAAACAGACCACAGTAATTTAAAATCATTTTGAGAACTCAAGGATATCGGGAAAAACTCCAGATTTACAAAGGAACTTAAAAGTTTATTAAAATTACTACAAGTTTCTATAAGTATTTTGGTGGGGGAAAAATAGGACTTCAACTGAACAGAAACATTTTTTGGCATTATTGTTTGTAAACTTGAAAATATCAAACAGTTGTCTTTCAGTGAGTATCCGCACATAGCACCAAAACATAAACTAAATAAGGATTCCTAGTACTCTTACCGAAATCCAATGATACCACCAGTAACAACGAATCAAATACTCGTGTTCTGTGTAACATAGTTCTGGAGTTTGTATGGTTACAACATAGATTCAAGTTACAACAACACAATCATTGTCAGCTAATAAAACAAAATATAAATGTTTCGTTTTGGGTTTACTTATTGACTAAGTATAATTTATTACAAGTCACAGCTTTTACAGTAAGTGAGATTTGTATTTAGATCAGGTACGACGTTTCGATCATTCTCAAGTACAACCTTCTTTACATATAAAACTTCTGTACTTGAGAATGATCTCATCGGTGTACAACAATGTATTTAAATACATAATATTATACAATCCACACATACAAACAATGAGTGTCAGTGTACAACAATGTATTTAAATACACAATATTATACAATCCACATACATCAAACAATGAGCTTCAGTGTACAATAATGTATTTAAATACACAATATAATATATAATCCACACACAAACAATGTACAACAATGTATTTAAATACACAATATAATATATAATACACACACAAACAATGTACAACAATGTATGTAAATACACAATCTTATACAATCCACGCACACAAACAATGTACAACCATGTATGTAAATACACAATCTTATACAATCCACGCACACAAACAATGTACAACAATGTATTTAAATACATAATATTATACAATCCACACACACATCAAATGAGCTTCAGTGTACAACAATGT